CCACAGGGTAAAACTACACCCTGCCCATCCCATTTCACAGGGAAAAACTTCACCCTGTCCATCCCACTCCAGGAGATGGAACTCCATCCAGTCCATCCCATTCCACAGGGCAAAACTCCACCCTGTCCATCCCACTCCAGGAGATGGAACTCCACCCTGCCCATCCCATTCCAAAGGCATGGAACTCTATCCTGGCCAGCAGAAACTCCTCCAAAGACACAGAAGGGAATTAAAACCAGTTCCTGGCAAGCCAAGGTGCACCTGACACCAAGACTGAGGAGTTCCAAGTTCTCTCTGAGCGAGGATAGTCAGGGAATATCTCCCCAGAATTGCTCACTATGACCTGTTTATATCCTAAGGGACAGATCCAGGGAAGAAGTCCTGCCTGGGCCAAGGGAGAAAGAAGCCCCTGGGGATTCAGGAGCCCTACCTGAGTCCTTGGCTTTCTTGGCAGCATCTGAGATATAATCCTGTGAGCGTCCATCAGTGAAGACAATCCCCACCTTGGGGACCCCCGGCCGGGCTCCGTTGATGACGGAGAAGGAGCTGTCAACGAGGTACTTCAGAGCCTGGCCTGTCATGGTCCCCTTCTCCATGTAGGACATTTTCTTCACTGCTGCTTTGATGTCCTTCTTGCTCTTGAACTGCCCCAGGGGGAACTCCTGCCGGACGGAGCTGGAGTACTGCACCAGCCCGACCTGGGCCTGCTTGTCCGACACCTCCAGCGAATCCACGATTTGGTTGATGAATTTCTTCACCAGCTCGAAGTTCTCAGGCCTCACACTCTTGGAGCCATCGATGAGGAACACAAGATCCAGAGCAGAGCCCAAGCCACCATTGCAAGCTGAGGAAAAACACGAGAAGAGGGGAGAAGCAAACAGCAGCAAAGGCCTCAATAAATGACGTAGAAAAATAGAACCCTAATGCCATTTACTGTTGTGGGAATTAATTTGTTAATTAATATTGTTGTGGGGTTAATCAATTAAAACCCAACCGGAAGTGACAGCAATATTTTGAAAGTGATTCTGGCTGGTATGAGCAGGGCTTCCCTTTCTGCCTTCCCCAAGCAGAACATCCCAGTGCTGTCACCACCCTCCCCTCCGGGACACCTCACGTACCGGTGCAGGTCTTGCCATCACTGTTGAGGCTGAAACCATCCCTGCAGGCACACCTGTAGGCCCCCGGGGTGCTGACACACACCTGCTCGCAGTCGTGGTCCCCCGTGGCACACAGGTCAGACACCACTGCAAGGAGAGGATGGGGGGCTTCAAGCAGGGCCAGCCCGAGGACTCCCCACCCACAGCCAGCTCTGCACAGCCCCACATTAACCCCAAAATTAAATCTGCTTTGTAGTGGGACACAGCTCATTGGTCCTGAACAGTGGCTGAGGAAATGTCTCAGGTTGGAAATGGGGGAGTATGTTCTGTCCCATCTGTGAGAGCTGGGACAGGGCTCTGCTGCTCTTTGGGCACTTTTCTTTCTCTCTCCCACAGCCAATCCTCCCTCCAGGAGATCTCTGCTGTCCATGGCCACTGAGTGTCCCTGCATGGCTGAGAAAATTCCATCATCCATGGGGAGATGCTGCGCCCAGGGGAGGAGCCAAGCATTCCTACCTGGATCCAATCTGACCTGGGAACAGCACAGCAGCCTTTGCCCCCTGCATTCCCAGAGGAGCAGCTTCCTTCCCCTGCATTCCCAGAGGAGCAGCTTCCTTCCCCCTGCATTCCCAGAGGAGCAGCTTCCTTCCCCCTGTATTCCCAGAGGAGCAGCTTCCTTCCCCCTGCATTCCCAGAGGAGCAGCTTCCTTCCCCTGCATTCCCAGGGGAGCAGCTTCCTTCCCCTGCATTCCCAGAGGAGCAGCTTCCTTCCCCTGCATTCCCAGAGGAGCAGCTTCCTTCCCCTGCATTCCCAGAGGAGCCCAGGCCCATCTCCCCCAGCCCTGGAGCTCCAAGGAAAACTCCCCCCTTGTGCAGATCCTGCTCCAGCAGAAGCACAGCTGGCACTGCAGGAGGGCTGAGCCCCCCTGGGATGGGGCTGAGCCACTCCCTGACCCACAGGGGACAGGGCTGCTCTGACTCTGGCACGGCTTTGGTTGTACCATTGCATTGGTATTTTTAATTTTCCTAGTAAAGAACTGTTATTGCAATTTCCATATCTCTGCCTGAGAGCCCCTTAATTTCAAAATTATAATAATTCAGAGGAAGGGGCTTTACATTTCCCATTTCTGGGGAGGCTCCTGCCTTCCTTAGCAGACACCTGGCTGTTCAAACCAGGACAGGCATAAAGACAAGTAAGAAATCCCCTCAAGTCTCCCTGCTCCACGGCACAGCCAGGACTGGAAATCCTCCCCATCCTGAGGGCAAACCCTGCTGGGTGGGGGGCAAATCACAGCACACCTCACTCTGAAAGTCTCTGTGTGAGGTGTGGGTCCCAGCTGCAGCTGGGTCCCACTTTTGCAGCTCTGCAGTACAGTTCTGAGCAGGGAGCTCAGCTGCCCGTCCTGGACAGCACTCCTGTGTGAACACACCTGGAATTCGCCTCAGAGCTCTCCCTGCGTGTGCAGCTCTCAGATTTCTGCTCTCCAAACATTCCTGCTGCCCTCCTGCCCTGGCGGTGGCTCCGGGGATGCTGAGCAAACAGCGTTTGCTGAGTGGCAGCAGCAGGAGCCAGCGGCGCTGGGGGTGCCAGCGCTGTCACAGCCACCAGAGCGGTGAACAAACTGCAGAGCAAACAGGGCTGGGGAGGCAAATTCAGTGCCAAATGCCAGGGAAAAATGTGCAGAAATCCAGGCACTGGGCTGGAGCAAACAAATGGAAAGTGGAGCAGAGTCTTTCCGAGTTGAGGTTTGTTATTTTGAGCTATTTGTGTTCTGCTCTACTCAGATTTTGTACGGTTTTTGGCTTTTCCACTTCCCGTGGCTGTGCCAGCACTGGTAGGTTCTTCCAGCCCAGAGCCTTGGGAATGTTCCTGCCCCTGGAGCTGCCTGTAGTTCAGCTCTGGCTAATCTCACTCCTGGCTGGAGCACCAAGGGTTTCCTGTTTCCCCATGAGTTTGCTGAGCGCTGTGGGAAGCACAATCCCTGCTGCCAATCCCACAAATCCTGTGCTGTGCCCGAGCAGGGGCTTTGGGCTCATCTCTGGGGTGGTTTAGGGCAGCTGCACATGAAGAACATGGTAGCAGGGGCTTGGGATTCCCCCAGGGCTGTCCTCTGCTCCCTGCAGCAATCTGAGTGCTCCCCTCATTCTGCCAGGCCTTTGCATGGGAAGAGCTTTGCCATCTGCACAGGGAGGCACAGAAAGGATTTCCCCCACAGCTTCAAACCACATGGTGACACCTTGGCACCACTGCTGCCTCCTGATTCCAGGGCAGCCAATTCAAACTCCACAAATATTCATGGCCTGGATTCCACTCCTCAAATTCCGTCTCTCTCCCTCCTTTTGGCTGAAGTGTTTATTCCCTCTCCCAGAAGCTGCTGCTGCAGTGACACCTGATAACACCTGACTCATTCTGTGTTATCACCTGAAGATAATCCACTATCCAAAATTTCCCTCTTTTCCACAGAGGAGCCAATCTTCCATGACAAAAAGCTGCTCCCCTTCATCACTTTCAGCCTGGGAGCTGGACCAGGAGATTTTACACCTCTCAGAAACTGGGAGTTCTTCAGGCCCAGCCGTGTCTGTTTGGGGTTCCAGGTGGATCACACCTTTCAGGAAGTGTTGCCACACGTTTTGGCTTCCAGGGAGTGGCAGGGAGAAGCCCCTGGGCCTCTCTTGCTGACAGGAAAAGGGGATTTATGGCCATTCCTGCTACCTTGGGGCACATTTGGAAGCAATAAAACACATCCAGTCCTTCAGTGGGTCCTGTAGGAGCAAAGCTGCATTTGTAGGATGCTGTTTTGTAGGATACTCTTTTTGTAGGATGGGTTTTGGAGGATTGGGTTTGGAGCATGGTGGCTTTATTGGATGCTGTTTGTAGAATGGTGTTTGGAGGATGCTGTTTTTATAGGATGGTGTTTATAGGGTGGTGTTTATAGAATGGTGTTGATAGGGTGGTGTTTGTAGGATGGTGTTTATAGGGTGGTGTTTGTAGGATGGTGTTTTAGGATGCTCGGGCTCCTTTGATATGCAGAGAGGAATTAGATCCTGCTCCAGCCAGGAGATATTCCTGCCCCATGAGGTTCCCAACCCCAAAAGCAGCATCAGGCAAAGGCAGCTCAGCCTCTGGCAGGAACTGGGACCATCCCAGCTGAACTGGGAATTCTGGAGACAACGCTGGTGGGGGGAATTACAAAACAAATTCTCTCAACTGCCCCAAAAAGGGTGTGATTTCAGCTGTGCTAAAATCCTCTTTTCCAGGTTGTTTTTCAGTGCCTTCAGTGGATCGTGTTTACAAACTTTCCGGTCCTGGTGAAATCTGGAGATTTCTTTAAAAAAAAGCTGAAATTCCCTGGACAAAACCCTGCAGTTCTGGAAAGGCAACTTCAAAGAACCCCTGATTTCCACGGGGATGAAGGGTGGTCATAGGTACAACTTCCATAGGAAAGGCTGGAGGAGGACTTTGGAAAAGGGTCTGGAGGGACAGGACCCAGGGAATGGTTCCCACTGCCAGAGGGCAGGGCTGGATGGGAGATTGGGAATTGGGAATTGTTCCCTGGCAGGGTGGGCAGGGGCTGGACTGGAATTCCCAGAGCAGCTGTGGCTGCCCCTGGATCCCTGGCAGTGCCCAAAGCCAGGCTGGACACTGGGGCTGGAGCACCTGGGACAGTGGGAGGGGTCCCTGCCCATGGAAAGTGTCCCTGCCATGGCAGGGGTGGGATGGGATGAGCTTTCCAATCCCTTCCCCCCCAAAGCATTCCAGGATTCTCTGCAAAGCTTTAAGGTCCCACCCACCCAAACCATTCCCCACTCCTGGCTGCAGACCCGCAGCTCTGGGCTGGGCACGCCAGGACTCACCGCAGAAAGCCTCCTGGAACTTGTGGGTCAGCTTCTCGATGACGCTGTAGCTCTCCACGTAGTCCACGTGCTCGTCCAGGGGCTCGCTGGCCATCTGCCTCAGCGTGCCCATGTCCACCCTGCCCACGCCGATGGCGAAGATCTCGATGCCCGCGGCCCTGGCGCGGGCGGACACGTCCTGCACCCCGTCCTGGGGCCGGCCGTCGGTCACCACGATGGCCACCTGCAGGGGAGGGACGGGCTGCTGGGCACTGCTGTCCATGTTCATATTTCCACAGTGCCGGTGGAACTGGCCAGGGTGGGGTTTGCATTTCTAAAATGAAGGGAAAAGGGAATCCCACCAGCTTTTCCCATACTTTGGAGATCACACCAATGTCTTTTTTTGAGGTGGAATTAGTTTCTTTCTGAGCTGGAAAAGTTAAACTGCCAGGGATTGATTGTTTCACCAAGGGACAGCTGCTGCATCCCCCTCTAAGGAAACGAAATTAAAATGTATGTTTTAATTTAAACAAACTTGAGCTCAAGCCAAACTAAAGATCTTCAGGGACACTCAGGACAAGCCCAGCTGAGTGTGGGACTTCACAGCATCTCAGGAAATGCCATGGAAATGTGAGATGAAGGCTTCATCCCATTTATAGGTGAAGGAGCTGAAGGATGGAACTGAAGCCATCTCCATGGGGAGAGAGGAGAAGAGGCCTGAGATCACGCTGCGTGTCAGGGCCTGCCAGGATTTGTGATTCTCTGTTCCAAAATAAACAGCAGGGATTAAACCCCACCCCTGCTAACCCCAGCATTAAAGTGGCATCTGGTTTAAATGGGCATTGGATTTCAGCTTGGATTAAACGGTGCCCTGAACCAGTTAAAAGCCTCTCAGAGTCCTGCTCCTTGTTTGTCCCTTTTCCTCTTTATTTTTCTTCTGAAGGAGACTATGTCACAAGACCTGAATTCTTGCTCTTTGCCAATTCTTCTGCCCCTGCCACTTTTCCTTACAACTGATTTATAGTGACACCACTGCCAACTCCAAAGGGATGGCTTGGGCTGGAATACAGAATGGGGAAAGAGCTTCCCCTCTGGAAAAACCAGGAGGAACAGGGAAAATGTGGGGCTTTACAATCTCATTTCAGCTGTTTATCTGCACTTCCTAAAGGATGCACAATTAAAAGTTCCCAGGAGCATCATAATTCCGTAACTGGTTCTTCCACGGGGGAAAATATAAATAAATTCAGTCCTTGCTCTTCTAGCGTGGCAAAAGAAAGGCAAAGGCAGCTGTGGCAGCTGTGGGGGGAATGGGTGTGCCCGAGGAGCCCCGGGGTTTTCCTGGGGCGGGAGCGGATCCATCCGTGCAGTGGAGCCTTTTGCCAGGAGAGAGAGCCCTCGGCTCAGCCTCGGCTCCAGCTGCGGCTCCAGCTGCGGCTCCAGCTGCGGCTCCAGCTGCGAGGGGACGAGGAGAGCCCGCAAAGCCCGGCTGGCAGAACGAGGGAGTCATCAAATGGGGGATCCGGGGAGTCATCAAATCAGGGACAAGAGGAGTCATCAAATCAGGGAATGAGAGGAGTCATCAAATCAGGGATCAGAGGCGTTATCAAATCAGGGAATGAGGGGAGTAATCAAATCGGAGATCAGGGGAGTCATCAAATCGGGGAACGAGGGAGTCATCAAATCAGGGAATGAGAGGAGCCACCAAATCAGGGACAAGAGGAGCCATCAAATCAGGGAATGAGGGAGTCATCAAATCGGGGATCAGGGGAGTCATCAAATCAGGGACAAGAGGAGCCATCAAATCAGGGACCAGAGGCGTTATCAAATCAGGGAACAAGGGGAGTTATCAAATCAGGGACCAGAGGAGTTACCAAATCACAGAATGAGAGGAGTTATCAAATCAGGGATCAGAGGTGTTATCAAATCAGAGACCAAACCCTGCCAGCAGATCCTGGCAGCAGCCGTATGTCCTTCTGCAATTCTCTTCCTAAATCAAGAAATTCTCCAGGTTTTATCAGCTCCTCTCCATCTTCAGCTAAACCCGAGTCCAGCTAAACCCAAGCCCAGATAAGCCCGAGCCCAGATAAACCCCAAATAGGATGGGGCTGCAGTGTCCACACCTGGTTGTGGTGGAAAGATCCTCATAATGCCTCTGTGTGGAAATCTGCCATAAAAGACTCAAAATTTACATTGCTTCCTACTCTGCTCTTGGAGAAAAACAAAATTTCTGGATACGGAGTCAGGATTAGGAATTAATCAGAGAACCCATGGGGAAAATGAATGTAACAGTGAGAGGAAGCTCGGGGTCCTCTCTCTGACAGCCTGACAGAAAGAGTGCAAAAATATCTGTTAATATCACATTTGGTTAACCCAATCATCAGGAAATACTGTTTTGTTCCTAGGATTCCTGCCATAGATATTTCCCCTACATCCAGCCTGAGTCAATGTGAAAAAATTATTTTCAAGCCGACCTCCAAATTATTTGCAGTCTGAGGATCTCTGTAATTCCCTGCCAGTGGAAAAGCTGAGTCCTGGTGTGGGCCTGGTTTGGGAAAGGCTTGGAGGGAAGGAGCAGCCTCTGGATCCTGGGGAGGCTGGCACTGCTCAGCCTTGTGAGGGGAATTATGAAAAGGTGAACCTTCTGCTGCCTCCAACAGCTGAATTTTGCCCCGATCCTCAATTTTACCCTGATAAAATTCAGAAACTTTGCTTTTCAAGGTCAAACCTTTTGCTCATTTAACCAGCAGCTTTCCCTGTCAATTCCTGACATTCTGGATCCTCATCCTTCTGTCAGACAGAAATCCCACGTGGTCTGATACAATTTATTCCTGGTTAATTCAGATTCCTGAGCATTCCTTGGCATTCCCAGGTACTCCCAGCCCGGGCAGGCGTTTCCCGGCGATCCCACAGCTAATGAGGGAGTGATGGCTCATTATGCCCTGGGAACGTGATGTTCCAGCAGCGCTCCAAGGAGCATCAGGCAGGAAGCTGCATAAAGCCCTGGATTTGCTCAGCAATTTGCCAATTTATTTGTTCTTCCCTAAAAAAATAAGGTGAAAGTAATTGGGCTCCCTGTGGGTTTTGAGGAAGGTGGGAGCAGGTTTTTCTCGGAGCTCCTCCAGAAACAAATGGTGCTTTTCCCTGCAGGTGACATTTACTGCATTTCCGGGGGTGACATTTACTGCACAAAGCAAGAGCAAAGCACCATGTGATGTTTTGGGATGTTGACAACCAGATTTGCACGAGGATTTGTTGGATTTCTGCTGTGGGAAGGAGAAAGGACCGTGTCCGGTGTTTCTGGGAGCTTCACCTCCCTAAATCCCTGTATGAACTGTTCCTCCTCCCAGGCAAGGGATGGGATCACCCTGAGCAGAAGGGAGAAGCTGGGTGGACTTCAGGGCAGGGCAAAGAGAGAAAAAACAACCAGGGAACCAAGAGCACGAAGGGTTGTGGAGTTTTCCACCTTGCAGACATTGAAAAGCCACCTGGGCATGGTCCTGGGCAGCCCCTCTGGAGCTCAGGGTCAGCTCCAGAGACCCCTCCCAACCTCCTTCTGTGATTCTGCCTCTTGGATCAGCTCCGGAGTGGAAGGCGAGAGGGAAAACGAGTGATTTCCCTTTTTTTTCCCCTTTTCTTTAATGCCTTAGATAAATCACCCCAAAGCTCACTGCTCCCAGCTCTTCCAGCTGTCCAGGAAAGGAGGTGTCAAGGAGACACTGGAAATCCAGGACAGTTTGTTCCACACACCAGAGGTGACAGGGAGCAGCAAGGCTTGGGGAGCTGTCTGGCAGGAAAGGAGTGCATGGGGAGAGGGATGGTGAATGGGGTGGAAGAGATTCCCGAGATGAGGATCCAGCGCTGTCATGGACAGCTCAGTGGAAATGTCTCTCCAGTCTGCAGGGGTGGCCAATGTTGTGTGTAACTGTCAGACTGCATTTAGAACAAAAACTGAGACTAAGACTGAACACGTTACAATGAGTTTTGTGTTTTCTTTCACTAAGCCCCAAAGATGAGCTTCTTTTTCAAGAAGAATTGAGAGGCTTGAACCTCCCAGAGATTTTTCAGGAACTGAGAGATTTGAAGCTCCCAGAAGTTTTCAAGAATTGAGAGGTTGGAACTTCCCAGAGGATTCCAAGAAAAGTTGAGAGGTGGTTTGAATCTCCCAGAGGATTCCAAGCAGAGTTGAGAGGTTTGAACCGCTCAGGACTTCAAGAAGAGTTGAGAGGTTTGAACCTCTTGGAGGTTTCCAAGAATTTAGAGGTTTGACCCTCCCAGAGGTTTCCAAGAAGAGTGGAGATATTTGAACCTCCCAGAGATCTTCAAGAATTGAGAGGTTTGAACCTCTCGGTGGCTTCCAAGAACTGAGGGGTTTGTACCTCCCAGAGGTTTCCAAGAAGGATTGAGAGGCGTGAACTTCCTGGAGGTTTCCAAACCTCTGGTTTGCACCTCCCAGAGTTTCTCCACCTGCAACAATCAACCCCCAGGTGTCTACAGACAACCAAAGCCCGGAAAGAAAATCCTCTTTCTGCTTTTCCCAACCACTCCCACGATGAGTCTCAAGCAAGGAGCTGGAGGAACCAGACCCTTTTTACCTTTCTGAAGTTGGGCGCGCTGGCCCTGCCGCCCTCGGCGGCGCTGAAGGCGCGGCTGATGGCAAACTGGATGGCCAGGCCGGTCATGGTGCCCGTGGAGAGGGGCTGGATCCTGCGCACGGCCTGCAGCAGGGCCGCCTTGCTCTGGGGACCCTGCAGGGGCAGCTCGCTGCGCACGGCGCTGCCGTAGTTGATGACGCCCACGCGGGTGGCGTTGGGGCCCACGTCCAGCGCCTCGATCACGCGCGACACGAACACCTTGATCTTCTCAAACTCGTGCGGCCGCACGCTGCGCGAGCTGTCGATGATGAACACCAGGTCCGTGGGCTTGGTCCTGCACAGGGTGCCTGGGGGCCGCAGGGACAGCGGAAATCAAAGGGAAAGAAGGAAAAGTGTCAGAGTGTCCTGGGAGGGAGAGGTCGGTGCTGGTAAAGCGGAGAGGAGCTGTGGGTTTGTCCTTTCTCTGTTTCACAGCTTGAGCTGGATATTTAAAACGTTCTTTGTGCTTTTCTAGGGAAGCACCTTTAGGAAAGCAGAGTTCCCGGGGAGTGACACGGACTTGTGGAGAGCAGGGTGTCCCGTGTCACCCCAGGGTGCCTCTGAGGGCTGCAGGAAACTTCATCTGCCTGGGGCAGGGAGGGAGGGATAAATGTGCGGAATGACAGCACGGAGAGAGGGAAGGAGGGAAAGACAGAGGAAAGGAGGGAGGGAAAAAGCTGTGAAAGAAGGAAAGGAGGGAGGGAGGGAGGGAGGGAGGGAGGGAGGGAGGGAGGGAGGAAGGAAGGAAGGAAGGAAGGAAGGAAGGAAGGAAGGAAGGAAGGAAGGAAGGAAGGAAGGAAGGAAGGAAGGAAGGAAGGGAGTTGAATGGCCGCACTGAGGGAAGGAGGGAAGGGAAGAAAGGGAAGGAGGGATAAAGCTGTGGACTGAAACCTGTGCTGCATTTCTGCACCCAAAAAAGGCTGGAAAGGGATTACTGCACCTCAGAGCTGGATAAACAATCCCCACAGATATCTGTTAATGGGAATGGGCCCAGAACCAAGCACAACACTCAGAAATCAGCCGGGATTGGGAACAACATTCCCAGGTTAAGGGTTAACATTCCCAGCACAGCAGGAGCCAGACCCCTGTTCCCCAGTGATGGCACCAATAACAAACCCCAGTAACAGCACAGAGCTGGTTCACATCCGTCACGGGGAAACAGCAGAGAAATCTGGAACCCATAACTGATAGTTAATAATAGATAATTAATCTCTACAGCCCCATGAATACCCACAGTGTAAAGGAGAGGCTATAAACAGGAGGCATCAGCAATGCAACAAACGGAATGATTGTTATTATTATTATTATTTTAATTTCTCGCTTTCATGACATTTTCCATCTTCATTTTCAGCTGTGGCAAGACATAAAAAAAAGGCCTGGTGTTTTTTTATGATTTCCTAAATGAATGTCCCCATTTCCCCCAGAAGATCTATGCCATGCTGTTATTTTAAATTTTTTTCTCCTCATTTAGCCTGTCTCTGTCAAGTGCTCTGTTAATATTTGATTTCTGCAGGGCTCAGGGAGTTCCTGTCATAAAGGAGATTTCTGTGGACAGATTTTTAAGTGTGAGCTTTTGGGCCAACAAATCTGCACCAAATGATGACATAAATATTACAGCTGGTCCTCAGTGTGAGATCTAATGGGGCTTTCAGTCTTTGAGGCAGATAAAAATAAATACTCAGTGATGGATTCACAGAAGAAATAATCAGGTTTGTTTCCTGAGAGACATCGAGGAAGGTCTGGGAAGGTGGGAGCAAAGCAGGCAATGGTCACTTTGTCAGGAGCTCTAATTCCCGCTAAAATCCAATTTAACATTTTCCCATATGGAAGAATTTAATTTTCCCCCCATAATTCACTGCAGAGGAGGAAAGCTCCCAGGGAGATCCATCTGCAGCACTGGAAATCCCTCTTCCAGAGGTTGCCTGTGCCCAGTTTACAGGTGAGAAATGAAGGTCAAGGGAAAGGCTCAATTAATTCCTCCAGAAATAAAACACAAATCCCCCTTTGTGCTGATGAATCATCCCTGGATTTAGTGACAAACTAAGCAGGAAAAGTTATTTTATTTCCCTAAGAACAGCTGGAGCCAATAGAAAATTTTTAAGTCAATCTATTTTATTTATTTCTGCTCTGTGATTTGGCCCTAAATAACATTTTTAAGCTCTTTTTATGAGAGTGGAGTTTATTTTAGAGAAGGAAAGAGTAAAGAAGGGATACCAGGTGGGAGTTTTTTGGGATTTCAGCCACAGTCAGGGTCTGCAGGACAGGCCCATTCTCTCCAGGAGGTGACAGTCACTTGCTCTGATTGACACCTTGACTCAGCATAGTTTAGTTAAAACTGGGATTAAACTAGAAATAAAATCTTCCTCTATATTTTCAATATCCACACTAGAAATTACTCAGGAATAGCTTAATTAATGCTGACTTCAGCAGAAAATTCCTCTCAGGCCATCTTTGCCATATCCATTAAACCCTGGGAGAACAGTGCAGTAGCCCAGGACTAAAAAGGGTTTATTTTAGAGAGCTGACTGCTCACAGCAAGGCTGAGCTCAGTCACTGCTCTGTCTCCCAGCTTTGCACAGCAAAGAGAACCCTCCTTTCCCAAATTCCCGAGGAGAAAGGGCTCAGTTTATCTGAATCCCCCCTCCCTCAGCCCCAGATACCTCTGCAGTCACTCACACCTGCACAGCTCAGGCTGCCCATGGCTGTGGCCGGGCCATCATCATCATCACCCTGTCCAAACATTTTCAATTCCCACAAGTCTGGCCTTGCAGCTGAATTTGCCTCTCCTGCAATGATTTCTGGGGAAATCCAAAAATTCCTGGGCTGCCTGGAGCCCGGGGAAGAACAGAGATGCTCTTGAGGACCAGACCCTCCCTTCCCTGCATGTCCATCCCTGCCCCAGGTGTCCATCCCTGCCCTGGGTGTCCATCCCTGCCCCAGGTGTCCATCCCTTCCTGGGTGTCCATCCCTGTCCCGGGTGTCCATCCCTGTCCCGGGTGTCCATCCCTGTCCTG